AACTCCAGTTTTTATTTATTTACTTATTTATTTTTAACATGTAACAACTTATATAATAAAATAATAACTATGTTTTAATCAAAGAGTGTATTCTTCTTAAAACAATAACTTTTATGCAAAATATAGTAAGTTATATTTATTATATCTGTTAGTTAAAGACATGTTATTTACTTTTGACAAATTTGAGTAATTTTTTAAATAAAACAAGAAGCTAAAGATTTACAATTGTTAGTTCAATTTTATAAAGCAATAGTGTAATATTCTTTTTATAATAAAACATCATTGTAATTCAAAGAACATATTGATATTATTTTATTCACATACATTCACAAATTCATTGTTAATATTCTATGATCCAATATTTATATATTCTAAGTTTTAATATATATATATATATATATATAATACATTTATTTAAAAATAAAAATAGAGAACTATAAAACTGAATATTGAGTAAGAACAACTTGTAATTAGTAGATACCATCAGTAGAATAAGCTAACTCTCTAAGTCATTTAAATACCCCTCTCATGTTAATATTGATACCTTCAAGAAAAAGAAAAAGAAAAAGAATCTCTATAATAAAACAAGCAAAATTCTTAAGAAAAATGTACAAGTTATTAATTGTTGATTAGGTTTGAATATTTTTTTGTATAATAAAAAAATATGTACAGTGAAACTTTTATATTTATCTTATTCTTGGTAATTTATGCATGCTAAAATCGAATTCAATTTGATTTGATTTATATCTATAATTCTTCATGAACCACATTCCGTTGGTTGTAACTAATCTTAATTGAAACCATCCAGTTAATGTGATTTAAAGAGTATATATTTATTTCACCCATATGGTCTGCAGACATAGAATATTTACATTTCAATCAGCAAATCTATCAATGTTCAATTAAAAAAAAATGAATGGATAAACTCATACTAAAAAATTTGGCAAAGAACTAACTCACTCGAGCCGTCAGGGGTGTAAATTTAGCGCAAATCAAATAGCTAAGTGTTTTCTATATAAATCACATTTTTTACTTATCATTCTAATTTTTATAAACGAAGGCTAATCATTAAAACACATACCAAAAATCTTCACAACATTTCTATGCAACAAAATTCTTCAGTTTGTGTCCAAAAAAACCAAAAGTATTTTTAAAAAAAAATTGTGAAGTTCGTCGGAAGAATTCTGCGGACCCAGTGGAATTGGGGACGACATGCTGTGAAACTCTACAAACAGTTAAACTACACTCGACCGCGCAGGTGGCTACGCATCGATATATTACAAAGTTAGATAACACGTTTATAATCAGTGGAATTCCGATTGGCACCACAACAATCCTGCAAACGTGGGTTTGTGAGAATAATCTATTTCATAACTATCTATTGTGTGGAACCCATTGTCACTCCGCGATTTGTGAAGGAAAAAGTGTTGGAAGGGGACCCACTAACCGTCAGCAGCAGCAAGTTCGAGGTTGCGATCCTAGATGAATATGCCCTATCGATGTTCGTTGCTCGACGTCATGAATGATTCGAAAGTGCGCACACAATTTGCCGACCCGACCCCATAGCACGTGTCCAATGTTACCTGGTGGTAGAGTGTCCACTATAGCAACAACCGGGATCGTGTATTTTTGTGGAGGGTGTGCGATTCCGAGAGTGAAGAATTTGCGGATAGAAGCTCTCATACCCAACAGCTCCCGGCTCTGATGAGCCACGCTCAGGATTTCAGCAACATCACCGATCGTCACGAGACTCGTTTTCGAAATCTTTGATCCTCAACTGTGTCCTAAAACCGGCCAAGTCACCAAATTCGATCAAATTTGTACAAAGCAGCGTGCGGGACAGTGCCCATTTCGAGAGCGAGATCTAGCGCCGCATCCAAACCATCGTAGCGTAAAACATCGGCGCCGCTCGGCATTTCGGAGGCGGTCCATTGCGAGGCTGATGAGTGTCGGTAAGCATCGCTTTATGCTTACTTTGCAGGATGCTTCATACTAATATTACCAACTATTATGATTATTATTATTAGTGGGTGGATTTTTTAAGGAAGAGAACCCATCTAGTCTCATCTCCATGTGGTTCATGTTTGTCCCATCAATACTGAACTTTTGGGGCATTTTGGTACAATTTGTAAAAATAAGGCAATAAGGTTATAGTCAATTCATTGATTGAGATCATGTTCTTATCAAAAAAATGCAATAGATGGAGTTTAGAAGAAAATTTATTTATATATATATATATATATATATATACGTACACACACAAAATAAGGATGATACAATCCATTTGTTGTGTTCACTTCAACTTTTGTAATTTTGGAAGTGTTCCCATTTGCTCACATTTCATCTTTATTGCCGCCTCATGTATAAATTGCCTTCATATAATATAGATGCAGATACATAATTCTATTGGTTAAGATCAAAGATAGAGATTGTATTCTTTATAAAAATAGGAAACATTTTGTGAATATTAAATGACATGGGATTTTGGCATATTTTAATTCATTACTCTTTTAGCTAATGTCACAAATTCTAATGTTATTTGAGATAAGTTGATGTTGCAAACATAAAATGCTTAATTGTTTGGGTGTAATTTTATGATAGAATTGTGTTTTAAAATAGGAAAAACATAAGTAAAAGTTATTGTTTATCTTGCAAACGATCCAATAAATGTAATGTATACAATGTACATGTATTTCATTCAAGTACATTGGATCAGTAGTAGAAATGTCATAAATGTTTTTCAAAATTAGCTTGAACAAAAATATTTCTTTACCCTTCCTTGTTTTGAAGTAAAATAATACATGCAGTGGAAGAAGAAATAGAAAAATAAACAAATATATAAACACATTGTTACAAAAGAAATACCATGTGAAATTTTGTCAAGTATGTACATACATACATACATACATACATACATACATATACATATATATATTGTATGTTATTTTTGTAGAAGAGTATTATAATCTTGGAAGTATACTGATCTTAAATTTAAAAAATAAAATAAAAAGGAAAGAAGAAAAGAAAAGAAGAAAAGAAAAGAAAGATTGGTCGTTGGTATTTTATTTTGAAAATTGCTTGTAATAATATGATATGCTGGTTTTATTTAAATCATTTTCTGATTTTCATTTGAAAAGTTGCTCAAAAACATTTTTGAATACTGTGACATCTAATGTAATTGCACATACAAAGACACAAGTGACAAAATATTATCCATTTATAATCTAATATACATGAGAATTCCATTTAAAATATACAAAGATATAAGTGATAACATATTTTTACTAAAAATGAAAAAATGTCAAAATATTATATATAGATTGGAAAAAATATATAAAAATGTTTTTTTTAAATCAAGCTTTTAATTTTGAATATATATATATATATATATATATATATAAAAAAAATTGATCCCTGTTAGTTTGTATCATTTTTTGCAAAATAAATATTAACTATTAAATCTTATTAATTATCATTTCAACAACAACAACATTAGATAGTTGGATTGTATTATAACTTCTCTTTGTTAATTAATATTCATTAATTACAATTAATCAACTATGGAATATTAGAATAAGAAATAAAATTTAAGGATTAGATTAAATAAGTATTTGTATTTATTAATTGATACGAATCCGTAAAAATCACTCCACTATTAGATATTGGAGATTATTAATCACATATAACATAAAAAAGTCAGTTATCAAAATATTAGTTAATTATTATAGATTGTCAATATTTGGAAATTGCTTACCAAGAAGAAAAACATGTATATATATATATATATATGAATCTCTACAAAGTCTTTCTGACTTCTTGCAAATCTACTACAAAGCTATTTATTTATTGGTTATAATATGTAACTGATGGTCTTACATATTATTTCTTTATATTCTTTAATGTAATTTTTTAAAGCTTGTTAAAGTTATACATTAATGAGAATTATTCAAATAAAAAAAATCATATATGTGTATATGTAGATGTATTTTATGAAATTATACTTTAAATGTTTGTATATTATACCACTTTCTAATATAAATATATAAGATAAATAATATACATAATAAAATTTAGTTATTTTAGTACGATTTGAAAGCTTCGAAATTTGAATTATATATTATTAGTTCATATGTCATATATCTGACCAATCATAAGCTTTGCAATCAGTTTATTAAAAATCAAAAGACTTAAAATAAAATTTTGATCATATTCTTTTAAATAAACAGAATAAAATAAAATAAATCCATTTCTGGATTTTATATACATCAATACATCTGTTAGTTACATAATTACTTAGTTATTAAATATTATAACTTTTAAGCTACACCACAACCCATGAGCTTGAGATTCATATTTTTTTTTCTTGTATTTTTATTTTTATAAATGTTACTTATTTAGTTATGTCTCTATTTTTATTATCTCATTTTTGTATGCAATGTATCTTCATATATATATATATATGCACGTGTTTTTTGCAGTGTTTATAGAATATGTTTGTATATTGCATATTATTATAGTACAACTTGCTTCAACATATTACTCCCAAAACAAATATTAATCGTTAGGCCAATAATGTTTTTATATAAATGGAGAGAGATACACAGTTCTCATGTTCACCATATAGGACAAATGAATATTAGGTTGTCATATGACTCCACATATAATTATGCAGTAATCTGCGAACAAGCACACACACCAGTTAAGTGGGCATTTTAATCAATTAGAAACTCACACACAAACAACTCGAAATCCAAAACCACACTATATAATACACCACACTGTTCCATAAATGACGTGGCATCCGAGTTTTGGCGCCATGTTTCCTCCCCCTTCAAATCTCTCTCTGTCACGCGCGCTTTCTTAATTTTCCCGCCGTTTCTGAATGAGCATGTTTCGCCGTTCGATTAAAATCCAACGGGTTGGATGGGTCGATCCGTGGCAGGGAAATGGCGCCTTCTGATTGGACGTTCTGATGCTCGGACTATAAAGAGAAACTTCACCCACGCCCATTTGTATTGGCTAGGTGTTTGTGTTCGAAGCTGCCAGCGTTGTTGCCTGAGATCGTGAGTTTCGGTCGTCGTCTAGTGCATTTACTTCGTCTTAGTTGTAGTGGAGAATTAGATTGGGAGGTGTGAGAGATGGCTCCCAAGACTGATGAGCAAAAGGCCGGCAAGAGCAAAGCGGAGAAGAAGCCAGTGAAGAAGGCCGAGAAGAAAATCAAGAGCGACAGCAAGACCGACGCCAAGAAGAAGAAGTCGAAGAAGAGCGTCGAGACTTACAAGATATACATCTACAAGGTTTTGAAGCAGGTATTGGATCGGGACTCTCTCTCTTCCTGTTTGAGATTAATCCCATGTTTATTTTATGTGATGATGGATGCTTGCGAGTGTTTTCAGAAGTTGTTTGTTTTTGAAATGTCGGTGGGAGTGTGACTGCGCTGGGATTAGATTTTTATTTATTTATTTATTTATTTAAATATGTACGTGTACATAGACTCTGGTGTTATCAAATACTGAAGGTGCTCAATAATTTGTTACTTTCAGGTACATCCCGACACCGGTATTTCGTCGAAGGCAATGGGCATTATGAACTCCTTTATCAATGACATTTTCGAAAAGCTTGCTCAAGAAGCCGCCAGACTTGCGCGCTACAATAAGAAGCCTACAATTACTTCTCGCGAAATTCAGACTGCCGTGCGTTTGATTTTGCCTGGAGAGTTGGCAAAGCATGCAGTTTCAGAGGGGACCAAAGCCGTCACTAAGTTTACTAGCGCTTAGACCTCCAGCAGTTGTGCCGATCCATTTAGGGTTTTAAGTTTTGCGGATCCTTACTTAGGGTTTAGGGATACTTAAGTACATGATTCTACATGTGGAATTTACGTCCTGCAACGCGTTTTACGATGGGAGTGAGTCTCCACGGAGAGTGTAATGCGTTCCCGTGTACATACATTTATGTAAAATCATCGCGGTCCACTCTGAACTTAAATCTAAATTTCTTTCAGCAATTCTGTGCACTTCTGAACTTCCTACCTCATACACCCTGTCTTTTGTTCAGCGAGGTTGCCTTCCATAAAAACTTGTGATCATGTTGGACTTCTGTGTATAGTGCCGAATGTAGCCAATTTTGAAGATTTTATAGTTACTCTCCGGTCAAGATACTGTTCAGGTCGCGAACGGAAGTTCACCCAACAATTCATAAGCACACTAAAGCTATTATTTATCCTTTTCCAGCTAACACTGGCTCTTGACCAGTAATCCTCATTTTAATTTTATGTATTAATCGTGAAATAAATTCTCCTGTCTAATGGATATTTCATTGTCAACTCGTAACACATTGTTCTTTGAATGCAGCTTTTTGAAAACAGCCGGTTTAGAAGCGAGTTCATGAAATCAGTATGTTTTTTTATCATCATTCCATTTTAATACAATGTGTTTTGAAACTTGGATAAATTCAATCATCCTACAGCACCATAAACATTTTCACGCAAATTTTTATCTGAACATTTTCTTCAAATCGTTTTATGTACCTGAAGCTGGGCTGCTTGTCATGTACACGGGGTGTCACGCACTGAAAGGGGTGTTAACCTAGCAGTTCCCATTCAAAATCGTACCACATAAACAAATATGCATGATTTTAAAATTAAATAGAAAACAAACCAATCATGCACAAATGAGTCAGAAAATTATTTGTAAAAACCATCGACCTTTCTGTATACATATACACAACTACCATCAACTTCACCATTAAAAGATGGGTTTTCAATCAGCGTTATTTTTAGCTACTGACTTCCTGGTTGGTCTTCCAATTCTACATATCAGCGACAATTCACACATGGGAATGTTTACAAGAGAAGCTGATACTGTGAAGATCACCTATTTCCTGGCTGAGCTCAGTCAGCACTGTTGTGGAGGCAGTAACTCATCGTCATACATCGTCCTCTCCAAACACACCCACACCTGGATAAGTTCACTACTTATTAAGAAATGATAGTTTCATAGTCGTCATCATACAAGCCGTGCTGAACCGGGTTTTTCTTTGTGCTTCTACACGAGCCGTTCGTTGCTAGAGACGGACTGCACCGGCGAGCCTTTGCGAAGTTTGTATCTTTCGGAACAAAAATAATCAAGAAGCCGATATAATTTTTAAAAAAGTACAAAACCTTTAACGAGACAACAAGGACCCATGCTGCGGTAAGAAGACCCCCAATTACAGATTCCTTCCAAAAAACTGCATTTCTATGTCCCACCTCGCGGCAATGGAATACACTCATCCTCTTCGCTCCTTCTGGGGCTTGAATTTTCCTCCACATTCTGAAAATCATGGTAGGACCTTCGCACAGCTTATTGTACTCTTCGGGAGTGTCACAGAAAGACTGGCAGTCATTTTGACAAATGCAAAGGAGGTAAGTGACACCCCAGTTACAAGTTCAACGATAAGATGTTGGCACTCCCCAAACTGCTTGTAATGGAGCTTCTGGGAACAGTGATCTAATAACCAACTCTTCTGACTAAAATGCCTAAAATTATTTGTGTCACCAGGGAAAAGAGTCTCAAAAAGACAACCGTCGATATCCCCAATTCTTAGATATGACGCTGTCAGAGCTTTGGTCTCCAATTTTCGCCCGCGTAAGCGGCTTTATCCCCGAGTTCTTCCTCAATCCTCAAAAGCTGCTCACAAAACAAAAGAGACCATAAATACATACATCATGTCCAGTGAAATTTATAAAACTCAATAGACAAATCGCTGCACAGGGCTTTGCGTCTCGATCCATGTATCAAGGTGCTTTCACAGACTTGCATTATAGGAATCTCGAATGGTTCTAAAAAAAGGCGGTGATTGATATACCTGGTTGTATTTGGCAAGGCGCTCGCTCCGACAGGGAGCGCCTGTCTTGATCTGGCCAGTGGAGAGTCCAACAGCCAAATCAGCAATGAAGGAATCCTCCGTCTCTCCACTGCGATGTGACGCCATAATTCCCCAACCAGCCTTCTTTGACATGTTGACGGCTTCAATGGCCTCTGTGATCGTTCCAATCTGATTTACCTGAAAAAACGCAGGAGACAACAAAACAAATAAGTCAAAATGCATGGCTTTCAGGATGTCTTTCTCTAACAGGTACATTGAATATGAGAGGAGGACAACTTTCACAAGAAATATCATATACAGCACGAGACTTGTACACAGTGTATGATCTGTAAAGTCACAGAAGAAGTTCAGCGATTTAGATAAGAACCCTTTAATGTAGGGATAAAATATATCAAACCTTGAGAAGCAGCGCGTTGCAAGTATGTTCCTCAATGGCCTTAGCAACACGCTTAGGATTGGTGACGAGAGTATCATCTCCTACAACCTGAATACAGAAAGATTCTACTTCTTTGAGATGCATGTTGAGAAAAGAGAGGTAAGCAGGAAATGCAGTTTATGAGGATCAAAGAGTTAACAAATAATGTTTGCATCTGTATAACTGCATGTAACAGGGCATTAGAACAACTCAGATCCAAAGTAAGAAGTCTAGCAAATATGCGAAACAGTCTTTACCTGACAAATCTTTAGGTCTGTCAGTTTCTTAGTGTTCTCCCAATCATCTTGTTCGAAGGGGTCTTCAATGGATATGATAGGATAATCTGCAATGAACTCCAGATTATAAATCTAGAAACCATGTATATGTATATGTATATGTATATATATATATATAGTAGAGAAAAGTCTAACAACTGATTTCCAACACCCGCTTTCATCCAAAAGGATCTTGTAGATCAGGATTGTTATTCAATATTACAGATATGACTACCCAATCAAATCTTCAACAAGGGAACTCAACATCATCTTAATTATGAATGTTCACCTTTACAAAAGGATTGGTACATTGCAATCATTTCGTCTCCGCTCTTCACATCCGCTCCTGAGTTGTTGGGTGTTTTGAAATCCAGATCGTATTTCTTGTCCGCTGCACAAGGGACCACAGCACCCCATTTGTCAAAACATTCAGGAATGTGCTTCATCAAATACACTTTCAACATGGAGTAACATCTGCTGTTATTACAGTAGATGAACGCAGTATTTATTTAGTTTGTGTATAGACGAACGGACTTCAATCGATAGAACTGAATCACAAGGTTGCATCCGTTCATTTACACACAAACTAAATAAATCTTCCACTTCTGCAATTCGCTAGATGGTAAACTTGAACTTGCCGATCATCTTTTGTCATTACAGGAAACAAGAAAATACAACTATACTGTAAAAACAAGACAACAGGTAAGGATAAACTTACAGGTGTAAAATTCACTGGCAGCAACATCCATACCAATCTTAACTACTCCACTGTACCCAGCTTTCTCAATGGCCATTTTCACGAGGTCCAGACCTTCCTTATTACTGTCACCCAGTACCTCATAGTTAGGTTTTCCTACAAATTGTACAACAAATAAGACATATTGAACGACACCAAGGTGCAAGAAATCAAAGTTGAAATGAACAGAACTCTTGCCTAGCAATACTGGGGGCGAAACCCCCTTCATCTCCCACATTACAAGCATCGATACCGTATTTGGCTTTAATCACAGCCTGCAAAACAAAAGATACTGAGTTTAGGTCGCTACCCATGGCGTAGGATGTGTGCAAAGTACATTAAAAAATAAAAATAAAATGCCTTCCATTCATGATGTCGCATACATTGAGATTGCTTGTGATATACCCTGGAGATCGCCCAAATATAACATAACAAAGTAGAAAGGAAGTGTTATGGAACACAATGATCAAAATTAATTCGTGTGGTCAATTGCATAATAGAAACAAACCTTCAAGTGGTGATACACTTCAGTGCCATATCGCATAGCTTCCGAAAATGAAGGAGCACCAACGGGTAGAATCATAAATTCCTGCAGAGCATAGTTACAATCATGTGGATAAGCTTCAATCTAATAATTCATGTTCCCTGATTGAATACAAATTGAAATCACTTCCTCCTTCTGCAACGTACCTGCATAGCAAGCTTGTTGCCGGCATGACTTCCGCCGTTGATAATGTTAAACGCAGGTACTGGTAATACCAGCCTCGTGTTTTCAGCGAGATCTGCAATATGCTGATACAAAGGAACCTGGCAAGTTTACACCACATCATCAGGATTAGTTTCAAATTGCAGAGTTCACAATTACACTGCAACAGGTCATATTCAACAATAGCTAGCCACAAAAGTTGTAGCCTTCCTAGTTTTACGACCAAAACATTTTACTATTAATGTAAAGATGATACGTTTAATTAGATGTAATTTAACCTGTCAAGCCAATATCAATAATTAAAATATAAATAAATAAATAAATAACACACATACACACAATTTTCAGACTCGTACCCCTTTCTCGCAAGCTCCGGCTTTGCATACAGCCATTGACACAGCCAAAATCGCGTTAGCTCCCAAACTCCCCTGTTGTACATAAATAAATCAAGTTTAAAATTCAAGTAATGGGAATACATTCAAACGTTAATAGTAGTTATTTAGTTTGAATGCTGACGACATTTATTGCGTATCGAGGGCATTTAGAATGGCCCAGCACGTCATGAACAATTACTTTCATGCACACCTTATTTTCAGTCTTGTCCAGTTCCATCATCGTTCTATCGATCTTGGCTTGCTCTCTGGGATCCATGCCCAGAATGGCAGGCTGAATCTTGTCGTTGACATTCGCAACAGCTTTCAGAACCCCTTTACCCATGTAAACGTTCTTGTCACCATCTCGAAGCTCAACGGCCTCGTGACTGCCTCACAGATAACCAGCATCAGCGATGTCGTAATGGGGATATCCATGTCACAGAACAAGCCGAAAGCATAGTACACACGCTTACACGTACCGCGAAGATATTGTAACAAGTACCACTAAAGCATATCCGACTACAATTTAGGATAAGCATGACGCTCATCTCCTTCTGAGCTGGTTACCAGGGTCATGAATACGATTTACATTTCCGCCTAAATATACCTTAGGTCGAAGGTCCTAACACCAAAGGAATTACCAAGATAGAAAAGCTTACGCACACTCCAGTAGAAGCTCCGCTAGGCACTGCCGCACGAAACATGCCCTTGCCGGTCCAAACATCGACCTCCACTGTGGGGTTCCCACGGCTATCAATAATCTGACGAGCATGGACTTTGGTGATGACTCCGGGCACAGCTTTCCTCAGGTGATCGGCCTGATCGCGTACACCTCGAGCAGTTTAGGTTTATTAGCACATCCTTAAAAATTAAATAAAAAAGAAAGAAAAAAAAGATGGTATCAAACCTGATATTACCAAGAAAATACCTGACATTCGAGAGCATGAATAGAACAAAACGACCCCTCTCTCCTCTCAAAAAATAAAATAAATAAAATAAAACTACTACGAAACACTCACCGATCATTAGGATCAAGTATGTGATTTATGGAATCTGGTGCGATAATTTATACCATCCGAGATTGTATACACAAGAAGAGCAACTGCATGAGGAATTCCGAGACACCTCATGCCGCAGGGAAAGAAAACAAGAACTAAAAAAATCCTCGAAGTTAGCAGAGTGGGCACATACAATGAAGATGACGGGATCAGGACTCTTGGCTCGGACAGCAGCATTCACCGCATCCTCGATACGACTCGACAGCTTGTGCTTCTCCAAATACTCCTGGACAGACATGGTGCCGTCCACCCTGAGCCCGGAAGATCACCCCTCAAAGGCAACGATCCCGCTGAAACCAACCAACCTAACAAAACACACCTTCTTCTCCCTCCACCAAAGAAGAGAAACTGTGGCTTCAAAAACGAAGCCGAGGGAGGATTTTTGGGGATTGCGTGAGGATGATGGAAAGAACCCAATGGCACAAATCTGCAAGGAGAGAGAAGGGAAGCGAAAAAGGAGACGATGGTTGGAAATGGAAGACGTTTCAGGCATTCGATCGACTCTTGCAGGATGGACGCATATAGACGCTGATGGACGCTTGCAGGCAGCAGACTGGTGGAATCCAGGTCTGTCTTTGCCGCCGGACGTCTTCCGGTCGTAAACGCTGCCGTCGTTCACTTATCGTTCATTGGTGGTTCGTTGGTCTTTCGTTCGTCGGTCTGGAAGGCTGACGGGGCAGTGTGAATGGGGTCTTGGGCCAATCCTGAGTGAGTCCGGATAAATCCTAGGGCTGACTTGTAGCTAACGTCAATCTTTTGTCCAAAACTCTTCCAATTGTCTTTCAATATGGCAACACAATTGGCTATTTGTATTGGACATCTCTTGAATTTTCAACATGGTTATTGGATAAATATTCTAAAGAAAGATAAGTACAAAAAAAATCAACAAATTTGGTGCAATTTTAAATCTCAATGTTTTTCACTATCATTGTCATTGTTAAGAGATTCATCTATTAAAGTTTGGTGTAAAAGTTACAATTTAATGTAATTTCTTTGTACTCATTGTGTTTGTAAATGTGGAACCCTTTAAACATCACAACGTAAAACTGCTTTACCAACCGAACAATGTTGAAATGAATTATATCTACATTGTGTAATCCACATGATATGTTAACCAATAAATTTAAAGGTAGTTGTTTTATTTATCACCAGTTACAGACATGTACAAACATGTCAGCGTTTTTAAGTTTTTTCATAATATAAAAATAAACAATAATTCGAAGAGTTCATTTCCTGTGTTCAAAATTCTTAAAGTAATTTAATCTTCATGGGGTTTGGCGGGAGAGAAAGATGTGGAATGCCAAGGAGTATGTGAACAAGGCAGCTCGCACGTGCACGAATGCCACACCACACCAACTACACTCCCTCCCCCAAGGGCGCAGCCGCAAGCGACCGTGACCGCGCGTCGGAGGCATAGGCAACAGTGCAATTTAGACAAGCGAAGCGCATGCGCGGCAGAGGTATACCGCGGGATGACGTGAAGAGACTCGATGACGGGCGTCGTCATCTCGCAGCCGGCAAGGCAGGCAGGCTACGGTGTATCCCCTCCTGGCGCCCCCCCGCCCACTGCGACGACACTGTCTCCGTGGTGTTGCTTCGGCAGTTTGCGTTGCAGGGTCCGGCATCTCTCCCCGACGATCTTACCGTGAGGAGCATCAACCATAACCAGGCGGATCCACAACCGGAACCAGACGACGAGACGAGAGAGAGCTTGAACCACCACCGCTGCAACATATCACCAAACCGGCGCTTGAACATCAAAACCCAGGTGCGTTGCGTTCCGTTGCATGGTAAGCGGTGGAGCCAAGGTAGCCCTATCGGCGTTGTAGGCTGCCGTGATTGTTTGGTTTTATTCGAACCTGGCGCCCTGCTTTGCCAAGGGTGGGGAAGGAGAGAGGGCCAGAAGGGGGGGGGGGGGGGAGAGGTGGGGGTTGGGACTGAGAGCCTTGTAATGTCGTCTTTACCCTGCTGGTCCTTGGTACAGTAGGCTGTGCGATGCGAGGTGTTTACCAGCATCGAGGTGTGGTGGGAGAAAGCTTTGTCTATTGATGTCCAGGCCCACCCCATCGTGTTCCATGTCGGTCCCTTTCGTTCTTGCGTTTTTGGATGGTCAGATAGGCGGCTGTCATTGCTGCTACGCCGCCATCTATTGTCTCGGTTCGTAGCCCAAGTGTGTGACGGAACGCAGCAAACTCTCTCGCCTTTGTGTGTGTGTGTGTGTGTGTTCCCCTCCCTCTCCCACCCTTGTTGCCTTGGTTGTTGCCCTCTTTCGGGGCTGGGATTTTTGTTTGTTTGTTTGTTTGTTTGTTTGTTTGGCTCTGTAGCTAAAAAGAGGAGGCACTGTTTCTGTTTTCTTTGGGATGCGGTGTATCTGTACATAGTGTGCGGGTGAGGGGAGCGTGACGGTGGTCTCCTTGGAAGAGACGAGAGATATTACAAAAAGAGGTTCTGTGTCTGGAGTGTTGTTGGTGGGAGGGTTTCAGTCTTGTGGGTTTGGGTAGGAGGCGGGGTGGGCCATTCTTGGGAGAAGAAGAGTTCAACAAGGGCTATGGGGTTCTGTCAGAATAAAGTTTTTTCGCGGTATTTTGGTTAAGGAGATTGATTAGGTTTTCTTTTAGAGCTGGGTTGTTTATGTGGGTTTTTGGAGTTGAGGAAGCGATCTGGGACTGCAGGAGGCTGCTAATGGAGGCGGAACACTGATGCCTGACAGTGGAATGTCGCGACCTCTGTGATTAGAGTTTTGGTTGCACGAGACGAGGCGGGGGAGTGGGATAGGAAGAAAGCGGGGGCTGCGACAGGCTGTGGAGGCTAGACGATGCACATGCGCCTGTGCGTTACCCCGGTCAATGTTTCAGCAGCAGAGTGCGTGAGTGGGGTCGTCTTGCCTGTTGCAGGACCGGGCGATGCTACTCGTCTGTGTGGAGCCTCCTCATGTGGGGCTTGAGAGTATTGAGGTGCACCACACATGGCTTGTTCGTCGCTTTTGCCACCTCTCCATGTCACATGGCAGGTTTCCCCAGGTCCTCGACGGAAGGGTGCTCCTCTGGGCTTGAAGAATTTGGGAAATACATGCTACCTTAACAGTGTGTTGCAATGTCTTACATACACGCCCCCGCTGGCCAATTTTTGCATGAGCAACCTTCACTCTATTCTGTGTACGTCACCTGTTGTCCCTGTTTCGTGATTAGTTTAAAGTACGGTTTTCCTTGGTTGAGACATGTTCAGCTTCTGTGGTGATTTGGCACTCGGAGATGTTTCCTGCCTTGAGGCCGAGATTCTTTAGAAGAGTGTACTTGCTTTGTTTAGTGATCAGTGCACTCACAGGCAGAGGTGCATGCAGGTAATCAATTGAATGGAAAGAATAATAGTAACTGCCCCTTCTGCTTCTTGGAGTTACGCATTCAGCGGTCCTTGACGTTTGAAGGTCCCATTGATGCGCCCATTAAAATACACAATAGGTTGCAGTATTTTGCCAAGCATTTCCGGAATGGTCGGCAGGAAGATGCCCATGAGCTCCTCCGATATGCAATCGAAGCCTGCAATCATGTTTGCGTGCAGCTGCACAAAATTGTACAAGTGGGTAAAGTGTCTCCAAAGCAAGCAGTGGCAAAAGGATCAAAGGAGGAGCCGAATACAGTTGTGAAGGAAATTTTTGGCGGTCTTTTGCAAAGTCAAGTGAAGTGTCTCTCATGTAGCACCGAATCGAATAAGCTTGACGAGATCATGGATCTCACTTTGGATATTGTGCGGTTGAGTTCTCTTAGTGAGGCCCTGTGTCGCTTCTTTCAGCCGGAAGTGTTGGATGGCGAAAACAAGTACCGCTGTGACCAGTACGTTTGAAATGCCCTTCTCACAATTTTCTCTCTCGTCTTCCTCCAAATCTTCTTTCCTTCCATATGAATCTTCAGAGCAGTAAGATATGTTCTTTTATTTTGGAACCTCAAACGGCGTGCATGTAAGAGCAACTTAGATTTGTCCTGGGTCGTTTCGTAGCACTTTACGCAGAGGTAGGTTAAGCTTGCAATGTGGTGCACTCTTGATTTTCTTTCGGATATCTCTCAACGTATTTCAGGCTCTTTGTAGGTTATGTCTTTGCATTTACATGTTGTATTGTTTATGCGCGTCGATATGTCTGTGAAGAAGAGTCTCTTGAAGGTTTGTATCTTTTCGTGTTGATAGTGCACATCAGTAATATGGATGTCGTTGGCTCACTTTGAACCGGGTATCTCATCTACTTTTACCTGCAGGTGTAAGAAGCTGTCTCCTGCTCGCAAGCAAATGTCTGTTTATCGGGCACCCAACGTACTTGTTATTCAAATGAAGGTGATACTCGAGACTTTGATGAAGAATTCGTATGAAGGCATGAAATGTATTCAACGTCTTTAAATCAATGACGATACTTATAGTGGTAATTAAAAATATTTTTAATACTATCATGCTAATTTATTTGGCATTAGATCTGTCTATCTGACTTCGTATTATGCCTTCTGAAATTCACTGTAAAGCTTTGTTGTTTTTTCTTGCAGAGGTTTGAAGATATTTATGGAGGGAAGATAGACCGGCATGTGCATTTTGAAGAACGCCTATGTCTTGCAGGCTATATGTGCAGGGCAGGCAAGGTACATATGTTTTCTGTTAACTGTTTCTCATGTGTCTTTTGTGTACAGTATGATTCACATATTCTATTTATGACCACTAGAAGTTAACTTGATTCGTTGTCATTGTTCCATTGCCGTACATACTCACTCGAGTGGCTTACTGCGAAAATTTCTGTTATTTCTAGTCTTTTCTGACGCATGATTGTCAATTCTTTGCGTCTGATATGGAGACATGTGCTTGGCAGGATGCACGTCCGGAGTATTCTCTTTATGGTGTTGTTGTGCATGCAGGTTCTTCACAAGACTCTGGGCACTATTACTCTTACGTCAAGGTATTATTTTTTAATTTTAATTTTTAAATTGCGGTAGCTTGATGTGGTTTTTTAAAGACTTCTCAACTCAGGCCCACCATATGAGACACTGAAATTTGATCATCCTTATGCCTGACAGGAATCCAGCGGGAAATGGTACTGCTGTGATGACGCCAGAGTCTCGCAAGTTAATGCTCAAACAGTACTAGCAGAGAAGGCATACATGCTTTTTTATGTCCGGAGTACATTGAGTCCGAAGATTCCATGTGGTTCGATTGCCCCACTGCCTGCCTCTTCAGACACTCAGCTTTCAACAACACTTTCTGGATCTACGGTCGGGAATAGCAACGGCACGAATGGCAGCATCAGTAGGATTGTATCCAAGCCCCACCCGAAGTTTGGAAGCATAGCAGCCTGCAATGTGCGTTCTACTTCTGCAGTTTTGAACAATGGTGCCGAGCACCCTGTTAATGGGAAGTCCGAGATAAAAAATCGACTTCACAATGGTGGGTCTCTTGAAAACAATGGCCTTTCACGAAGCGATCAGATGTCTTCAGCAATGACAAAGTCCGAAGACACTGATATGCCTGTGTATGGACCCCAGCCTCGACCTATTCCTGGGTCAAGTCTCAGACAGGGAGTCCGAGCTCCTGTATCAAGCTTGCCAGTATCATCCGTATCGACAAATGGTCTATCAGCTGTTTCCGGCCAGACACAGTTGACAGCTAACGAACCTGTCGGTGATGCTTCCATTGCGAACACAAGGCAGAATGGTTTCTCCTCTGAAGAAACAAGCTCCTCTGCTTTGGTAAAATCCCGCCCCTTCTAGCATATCTAGATTGATAGCAGTTGTCTGGTCGTCTGTGAAACATTTAAAATTCATATACTGTTACCTCGCAGCAATTTGCCAAGTATGTACAACTACTTTTATGGGAGTGGGAAAATTTTATTTCCGTTTGTGGTTCTAATACCACTAGGAAAACACAGTACCTTTTCCGGTGCTTTTCTACCGTTTTGTCTGAAGATTCTGATGGGTTTGACGTATTGGAATGTTTTGCTGCTCAGGGGAACCACACCGTTGAAAGGAAGAGCATGCCAGTTGACCCAGAGAAGGCTCTTCTAAAAGATGCGAGTCTAAGCCGAAAGAGGTTGCATTTAGAAGGTTGTGGATCTTCGTCGGCAACAGCTGACGTGAAAAGTGTTGGTACTCAAGAGGACGTTATCGAGAAGCCCTCCTCAACAACAATGGAGCATTTAACTGAACTTGAGAAGTTGAAAATGTCGTAAGTTTTACGCATTTTTTTGGGTCTTCTAAAATTTATAACGTTCTCCTTTATTTTTCTTAAAACTCACCAATCACAACCTGAGTCACCGATATGTTGGTGTTACTTTGGCTCAACCAATCAATGCTGATTGAGCACTGTTGCAGTTTGGACACATTTTACAATGTTTCAAGTGTCCCCAAATACACTTTAGTAAACTGCCCTCAAACCTTATTACAATTTTTGAGTCTCATTGTATGGCGGTGTTAACTATATGAGGTTGATGTCTGTCTACAGGCTTGCCAAACAAGGACGCGAACAGCTGCAACGGTCTGGGTGGTGTGAAAAGCTGAAAGAATCAATGCGGGCTGCCAAAAGACAACGCGTTGATCAGACATGCTCCAAAGAAACAGATAAGGCGATGCTAAGGTAATTCTATTGTGCATTTTATGGTCTTGCATTAATTTGTGCCCTTGAGCATGGAATCTTGCTTCGGAGATGTAACTTGTGAAACCCATTCGAGTATCACTCAATCTTTCGGCTGTGGAGACGTTTCATTTTGAATTTTGGAGACGATACTTCTGGTTTGGGAACATTTCTTGTAAATTCTATTCGTTACTCTTTTGTGTAAGAAACAAGAGCCTCAAGTCAATCAAGTAAATGTTATGTTTTCTTCTTTGTGAATATGACGGCGATGCATGTTATTGCAGGGAGTTTGATGCACAAATTGTGCAGTGTGGTAGTTCCTGCTTTATTCTCCGTTTTTTAGAAGGTTATGCAGTTGCAAGTCTACGAAGTGATCTTTCTGTATCCCGTGTGATGCAGGAAACAATTGATCGCGCAATGTCAAGAATTTTACAAACTCCAGGTTCCCAGCGATTTGAAAGAGCTCCTTGTGGCGCAGCTTCGAAATTTTTTCATGGCTAAAGAGAGTTAGATTGTAATGTTCAGATGCCCCCTGACATATGCAAGCCGCTGCAAGATTGTGGGTTGTGTTTCAGCCACATTTAAGCTGGGTTCTTTGGTTCGTAACATTTTGATCTGAGACCTCTTGAGAGGAGACGAGCTTGGTCGGTCTCTGGAGTTGTATTTTCTTTCACTTTCTACACACATCATGTGCATTCTCGCGCTATTGGTGGCTTTGTAGGAGGGGAGGGGGGGGGGGTGTAGATTAGCAGCTGCACGAGGCATGCAGAATCTTGTTTGGTTTCTTCCCCTACTTTAATGCGGGGCCTGGGGCAGAGCTTTCTCAAGTAGCGGATGTAGTCAGAATTATTGGAGTGTTGCTGAGTTGAATTAGCAATGAGGTAAATGTCACGAGGAGGGAATAAGGCTCTTACTCGTAGATAATGAAGAGTGCTGTTAGAAATTGGCCCCCTGTCCTAGAAATTTCAGTACATCTACATTTTGAAGCAGCTATTGTGTACAAAAGTCCGGTGGGACGGTCAAGCGCAGGTAGTCTCCTTAACAGTTGATCCTGCTCTGGAGTGATGACATTTTATGAAATTTACTTCAAACATTTTTGTGATATCTGCTGGTGTGTGGAGCTGGTGACTGGACCACATGAATACGACCTGCAGGGTTGTCTGTAGGCAAAATAGCCTCTTCAGTACCCCTCGCCTCGGTTGATTGGGAGCTGGGTGTATTTGCAGCGGGGGTTATTTAGCTTCAGTTTGTGGCTCTTCAAGTCTTTCTAATTTATGTGATTTGATGTTTCTTTACCTGACAGTTTTTAGAATCTTGTAAATAGCAGATCGCCCTTCTTCCTGAATACTGTTACCGAGCATTGAGATTCACTCTCAAATCTTCGTTATGTGTTCATTATTGAAATATGCAGTGAGAGGGAGAGGAGACCCGTAAACTCTCCTGTGTACCACATAGTCTTCATTTCAATGGATTTTAGTCTGGTGTTTCTGTTATACATATAATCAATGTGTTGAGGATGTGTATATGTAATGAATTTGATTTTTTCCATGAGTTTCGATATCCATGTAGGGACAATTTATCAATTTATGTCCTCTCAAATCAGATGGTTTTTCGTGGGAATTGAAGTTCGAGAACCAAATCTTTTCCGAATTGAGCGAGATCGAAAGGGGTTTGAATTCCTTGACGGCTCTGTGTTTATGCAGCGTCCCAGAGCAGCACTTTGCAGCGACTGTGAACCAATTCTCTCTGGACTTACGTGAATTAGGTCATGCATGATAAGTTAATGGCTGCAGTTTCGATAACAGTTGTTTTTGATTTTTACTGATATTTCCTGTTTTTATTTATTTACAGTTCTAACACTGAGTCCCAAATCGTATACAACATGAATTTATTATGATTGCTATGCAACATAGCTCATGTATTGGCAGGGTTCCATCTGAGATTTTGTTTTGTTTCTTCACTGTATTAAAAGTAGAACGTAGTATTAGGGGCAGAGCTAAGTTGTTTACCTGTTTCGAATTATAATTCTTCACGTTAACAATATTGATGTAGTTAGTTGAAAATTATTCCAGATAGTCCAGGTCAACTTGTTTAATAAGACTTCATAACTTCTTCACTCCTTCAACCTCCTTCACAGAAACCCGAATGAGAAATGGGAGTGAACATGTGATACACTTTTGGAAGGCTCTCGGTTGAACAACTGAAAGATTACAAAGTGGATTGCTCTATCATTTCTCATTCTCTTCCAGGAAGTGCCGAACTTGAGTTCAACCCTGGATGATGAGAGGCGTAGAGACATTCACGAGGACCCTGCATAGCATAAATTTAAGCAGCGCTTCTTGCCGCAGCCAGTTCCTAAAATCGACAAAATTCAGATCATATTTGCTTACGACAGATTAAGTTGCGAAGACAGTAATCAATAATCAGTAATCAACAAGGTTGCAAAGACATGCTCGATATTGGGAATTTTCCCCGCTGGGTAACGCGGAGAAGATTGAGGCAATCACTTCATTAGAAAGCAAGAACCCATTTGGATCCGTGAGGCGTACATAAGACAACCTAGAAAGGCCAAAAACTCTGCTATCCTGTACAAGAGCCTTGATAACTTCAGTGTCCAAGATGTCCCCGTCTGCGTTCAGAAAAACGACATGACCACTGGAGACGAAAGGCAGTAGAGCTTTGCACACAAGTGTGCTCAAACCAGCTCCAAACCTTTGAGAGAAAGCTTGTATATCTAAGCCCCGAGCTAATCTAAGCGAGAGCATTATAACGTCCAAGGCTCTGTCTTCTGTACTATCTTGTGGACATTCAATGACACCTCCTGAACTCTCAAATTGCTCAACGAACTCCCGGTATTGTTTGAACTTACGAGGCCGGGAGAATCTTCGACCTCCAATGTAGCTTGTTGATCCCAATCCGAATGCGAAGTAGGGGAGATTGTTCCAATAGACAAGGTTGTGTCTGCACTGGAAACCTTCCTTCGCATAATTGCTGATTTCATAGTGTGCAAAACCAGCATCCTGGAGCTTGGCTGAGGCCATCCGGTAGAACTCAGCAGCATTATCGTCGCTTGGAAGGGGAGATTGCCCTGGTTTGTACCACTTGTTGAATAGAGTGCCCTCCTCGATTTGCAAATCATAAACAGAGACATGGGCAGGAGAGGCTTTCACAGCCTCGTTGATGGAATGTTCCCAGTCCTGTAGAGATTGATGTGGTAAAGACGAGATGAGGTCCAGACTCCAGTTATTCAAACCACTTGCGTGGATTGCCTCGATAGCTTCGTAGACTTCGGATAGGCCGTGTGAGCGGCCACAGGATTCAAGAAGAGCACCCTGGAAGGACTGCACGCCCATAGAAACCCTACTCAAACCGCCATCCATCAATTGCCTCAAAGAATGAACATCAAACGTCCCAGGGTCCATTTCCATAGAAATCTCTGCTCCTGAATCGATACCAAAATGCTCGTGCAAAGTGTCAATGATGCGGAGTAGGAGAGGAGGGGGCAAGAGAGAAGGAGTTCCCCCACCAAAGAAGACTGTCTGCAAGGGTTTGCTGCTATTCACCTTCGCCGCAAGGCGAATCTCTCGGCAAACTAGGTCTACATAGTCCGTCATGCCTGCATCCATGTGAGCTTTGTTGGTGTCTGTCCTCTCACCGACTGCCACAATTGGGAAATCACAGTAAAAACATCGGCGTCTACAAAAAGGGATATGAACATACACTGAGGAAGCAGTGGGTACATTTTCGTCATCCAAAACCAAATTCTCTCCTCGAGCAGACCCCGGACGTTGCGAAGGCGACATCAGTTCCGCAACCAAGTGACTCGTCGCAGATTCCGCATGCTGCGAACGGATACCACGACCCGAACGGAATCGATGGCCGTAGTCCACAGAACGCGATATCGGATGAGTAAAGATCCAGTGCAATAAGTTAAGGGACGTCAAAGGAGGGTTGTTCAGTGAGTTTAAAATGCGAGGAGGGGACTGCGATAAGAAGAAGAGACGGTTCATAGCTTCAAACACTAGATTTGCTTGAGAAATTTTCTACGATATGTCCTCAATCCTACACGTCCAGCAAACGACCTGCTTCCTCATGCCACGAGAACCAATTTAGGATTCCTACTGTAATCTCCTGAACGCTACCAAGGACGATACTCAATAGATTGAACGCCCTCTCCTCCAAACAATAAAACGTCAATTTTAATATGGAACGCGCCACAAAGATTCTAAATTTTCACTAGGCGACGATAGTTTCGCTACTTCGGATTCTAAACAGAAATGCTACAAGTTGGCAAACACGACCGCTGCAAAACCTAGACAGCCTGCTTCTCTGTGCTGGTAAACCTACAAATCAATACTGCTGTGTCAGTAAAGAACATGTTTCGGAAGTGGCCCACGATTTCTAGGTCTCTAATGCGAAAATGGATGGGAACGGATGAGGATCAACGAGGTTTACGTCGACCACGGACACCAGTCAGGTTCATAGAAGTGCAAAACTTGCGCCAATCCTCTCCGCCAACCTAAGCCACATTTGATCACGCATAAAATCGCCAGGTTAATACAGACGTTGCCCTTAGAGAGAGATGCTACGGCCTCGGCATTGCTTTCATCTATCCTTCACTTCTTAGTCAAGACCGTTGTTCCTCAGTCAATGGTGGGTGTGTACAAGACAAGGGTCTGCTGCATTACTTCTCCATACTGGCAATTTCATTGCTGCAAGTCAACTGTCGTAGCGTGCAGTTCGTAAGAACTTGTGCTGATTATCTGATGTGTCTGGATTTTTCCCTTGAGGAATGATCTACTGTAGGAGCTTGGTGTGCCAATCTCACTTCATCTTTGCCGTGACCAAAACCTAGTCCACGGAAATATGTACCGTCGACAGATATCCTTTTTATTCTGAAAACGTGCTATCGTGTTACACGATTTTGGCTTTCGGGATGCCGAGTATGCGATACAAGAGTGTCTCTACAGTGATGGCGGTGGAAGGTAACGATTTTATTGAGAGTTAGGGTTTGGAGAACAATAATCATCAACTTTGCGGGATTGCAGATCCAAAACAGTCACAGTTCTGTATACAGATTGGCAGATCCTGCAGGCACAAGGTGCATTTCAAAAGTAACGACTGCTTCGTTTCATCTGGATGGAAAGCAAAGCATGAAACTCAGACAGCTCAACTTCGTAACAAGAACTCACGACAATCAGAATTGGTAATCTTCAGGGAAATTGACCAAACCGTAACACAATGATTTCATTATTCATAACGCAAAGGCTCTCGAGAGATGGCGAACGTTGAACAGCGTTTACTTCACTTCTTCGGGGAGGTGCATGTATCAAAACAAAGAGACAAGGTTGAAATCATATACGCAGTCGCAGTGAACTACAAGTATCGAGTAAACTTACATTCCAGCAAAAATTTCCAGAGAATTTCAATTTTTTTGTACAGCGGCAGCAACTGCATGTGGTGTAAAGCCTAGAAAAAGACTATTTCTGCTCCGCCCCTTGCAAATTTGCACATAAAATACCCACATAATACAATTAAATATGTCCTAATCTTCATATGTTCGGCATTCGTCGGTCTCGGGGTTATCTGCGCAGTATTTCTCGAGGGGATCACCCGATGATTTCTCGCGGTCGCGCTGGTGCGCGGCTTCAGCAGTCAGCTCCTCGACATTGTCCCACGCTACAGCGCATGGAGCAGAATTGGGGTCCTCTTCACAGGTCAGCTGAGCTTCAGCAATGGCGCTGGGAATCTAGGCACAAAAAGTCAAATTAAAACTATGCCCAGTCGCTGGAATTCAGGGAGTAGGAATCATATTAATATCATGAACATCGCGTGTTCACAAGACATAAAAAGATGCAGCCACGACGTCATAGTGTACCAAACAAAACCGATACTAATGCTTAAGACTGGGAGGAGAAAGTAATTAGCAAATTTATACATCAGAAGGAGATTAAAAGGTCATCGTCCCGCATCACTTAAGACACAATTCTACAACTCGATGCTCCCCTAAACCATGTTATACAGCAATCTAAGGGCGCTGCGTAGGTACAACAACCCTACTTAAATATCCAAGAAAATCATACAGACACTCGAATGCTCACCTTATCCTTAACATCCTCACGGTTCTGGGGAGTAGCCATGGCGACGACGGAGAGGCACCTGTTCACCTTGACGGGGGCGATCCTCACGGTGGAGAAAGTGGAGAACGATCCCTTGAAAATAGAGACAGCAGGCGCAGCCAACACTACTCCAGCCATGGGAGACGCCAGTGTAAGGGACGCCATTGCTGAAACACGCTACAGGGGCTCCAAAACCCGGCACTCACTCACTCAGGTCACCAAATACAACAGCGATACTGCTCTCTGAGACAATCGATGCGAGAGTGTGACCAAATTGAGAGAACTGCAGCGCGTGGAAAATATCTGATGAAATGCGTGATGCAAAATTGTGGTGGAGGGCAGAGCTGCAGCGCAAGGGATGCATGGAGATGGCGAACTGATGGACACAGCGTCTTCCTCCCCCCACTAGGGGGGACATGTGGATGGATGAACTAACAAATGAACTTCTCTAATCCGTTACAACGTTCATCCGTGTCGAAAATCTACTCCTGCTGTTGCACGACGTGTAAGCTAGATGTTCAAGGGTTCTCTTTAAGCACTTTCCTTTTATCACTCCAGTTCTAACTACAGTATTATTATTATTATTATTATTGTTATTGTAAAAATAGATAAAAGAGGATAAAATGAAATATTAATGGGTGACAACCAATGTGGATGACATTTCCAACGTTCATACTTGTTTTAGAATATTTTCCTACTATGGTCACTTTTTCTATTATGTGGGAAATTAACAAAAAATAAAATCAGAAAAATCATTCCATGTACAGAGAAAGATCAAGATAGATTTGTGTTTCATTTAACCAGTTTCAATGTGTTATGCAAATATGGGTGGCGTGTAATTATTGGCCAAATCCAAATTTTATGAAACCTTTTTGAATTCAAATGACTTTCAAAACCTTACTTTCACGACCACACTAATGTTATAAAAGAAATATCTCTGAGAATTATAAATTATTTATTTATTTTAATTTTTAAAATATGGATGTGAGTTATGACATTAGAAATTACTTCTGAAAATTAATTATTTTCTTTGATCCTAAAGTTTATTTTGAGCTGTCGAATATGCATTCAATGATGGAAATTAGAAAAAAATAAAAAAAAAATAGCACAGTTTTTGCTATGGGCCCACCATCCACTCAACACATTTCTTTCGTTTTATTTTTATTTTATTAATTATTTTTTAATATTTTCAACAAATAAATAAAAAGTACAATTTTGTAACCTTCCACTAACTTCAATGCCGAGAGCCCAAAGGCGTGGAGAAATGGGATGAACCAGGATGAATGAAGGGGGGGCTTGTGAGCGCGATATGAGATGAATGAATGAAGCGGTTATGGGATATGGTTATCATGTATTCCTGTTACCGTGTAGGGGAGGCCCCACAGTTAACGGTTGGGAAGCGAGGCGGCGAGGAGGAGGAATTCATAGGAACTCTTTGGAACCAGACAAACCAGACGATGGAAGATGCTCCTCCTCCTGCTTCACTTCACATTAATAATCTGCAACGATATTTAGTTGATGCACGTAGTGTTGTCGAGTAATAGCAGAAACGAACGGTGTCCTCTTGCCAGGGCGAAACCCTAACTGTGGATGTCCTCACGGAGAGGACTACAGACTCGTGGAGATAGATACCATGATGGAAGCTGGTGGATGATCAGGGTACGTTTCGTTGTTAAGGTAACGTTGGAAAGCTCAACATAATACCCGGCGGGTACAGAGTCCTGTCTTTCGTAATTCGCCGTGTTCGGCGTCTACGTTCACTTCACCCTTCGATGAACGGGACTTCACGTGGATTCCAATTGAATCTGCCCTGCCGCTTCCGTCTTGTCAGGGGTCAAATTCCATTTGATCGGGATGTGTGAATCTTCTGCCCTTTTAGCTTGTGTTGATGATTCCTCATGATGCATCGAGGATTCGCTCAATCACAGCTATTGCGCAGGCTGGATGGAATGCCGAGGTAAACGTTGGGATTCTTGTTTTGTAGAGCGGACTTATCATTTGGTGGTTTGGTTGTTTTTGCCTTGTGTTCTGGTTGATCGAAGAGGGTCAAGAATTTGTCTATGGTGTTTAGCAATCGGATTTTGACAAAAAGTTGCAATAGGATTCAAAATTGTCTTGGATCGTGTTGCATTCCAAACTTTTCCGGAAACTGTCGCATGGTTAAGGGGGGCAGGAATGCGTAGACCTTTAAATGTCGAAGATTTTTGAAATTCTTGGAATCTGTGGTGTGTTGGTACATGTGTTCTGTTGTTAGGTTTACTTCCAAGCTCTGTGATTGCCAGATGTAGCAGTAAGTTTTCTTGTAGCTGTTTTTCTGTAATTGGTGATCGCATTCTGTTCTATTGATTTTATTTTATTGGTCACATTGACTTGCTGAAGTGAGATATGTTTGTATAATGAACTCTTGTAGATCCATCAGCGAAAATTGTGAATGAATCCGAGCTCTTCAGTGTTCTTGGTTATATTGCTCCATTTTATTTTATTTATTTATTTTTTTTTCCATCCTTTTTTCTGCACGAGTGCCCAAGATTAATGTTGGGATATGAACATCTCGGCTTTATCTCGATAAACGATTGTTCTGTGCCGGCTACCCTAATTCTCATATGGATGCAATACTGCTCGCGCCTGTGTAGGTGATTATGTTGTTTTGAAAGAATAGAGAACTCTGCAGCTCAACACTGGCAATCCTATTCAGAGTATTGCTCCGGCGATGCAAGAAGTGAATCTTTCTGTACAATTGGCCGTAAAGAGACGAGGGATTTTGTTGGCGTAGGAGTGATGAGACCTTCTTGCAGTTCCAAGTTTATGGGAAGGTTTAAGCTTTGGCTCTGGTGAACAATCTTAGGCGAATTTGGGTGGAGTAAATAATCGCAGGGTGGAATATCAGAGAAACCTTTTGGTGTGCGCAGGGTTTTTGCAAAACCCTAAATGGTCACCACTTCCTCTCTAGCACCGGGATGGCCAGGCTCACTTGTCTCTGTCAGATCGTCGCAATGCTTGTATGGTTCCAGTAGGCACCTTCGCCTGGGCCACAAAAGGCAGAAGTCCTCGGCTGCCCTTACTGATAATAAGCGCTGCCAGTGCCGATGTTTTGTGGAGGAAGTTTCCCATGCGTGGAAACAATGGCGTGGGTGGAGAAAATCTAGCCGACCATATAAGGATGGGAAGAAGCTTCCCGTGGTGATCTTCGAGGGAGGCCGACAATGGCAGTATGTTTTCGATGGAGAACAAATACGAGCTGTAGAGTTTGATGGGGTATCTCTGCAGAACGGAGAAGCCCGAAATGAAAGTGTGAGTGGTCAGGTCGCTGGGAGTGTATTAAAGCTGAGGCAAACATTGCAGCGAATCTTTGTTCCGGATCAAGTTTGGCCGCATTACCTTGTGTATCTGAAATGGAAACTCGTTCACCGCTTTTTGAGCTCAGTACTCCATTTTCAGTGTACTCAGGTCTCTTTCTCTCTCAATACATTCTCTACTGTGTTGAGATCGTTAGACGATTGTTTATTTCCTCGCTTCTTTGAGTGTACGCAATTTGGTTTACCCTGGATGAATATAAAAGCTGATATTTAAGCATGGATATGGGTTGGTTGCTGAGCTTTTATATGAAGCCGATTGATACGTTGAATTTGCTGTTGTGACAATGTATGTGGACAGAATTATGGAAGACGTAAGTGCAGTCTATCTTATATTTGGTTGATGTGTAATAGGCTATGCTATGGGCCGTTGGGGTGGGGGCGAAACGGAGACTTCCAGCAGCTGCTGCCCTGAACTGGGTGATGAAAGATGGGGTGGGACGATTGGGGAAACTTCTTTTCACAGCGAATTTTGGCCGAACCTTCGACTCAGACCTAAAAGTGAGACCTCTGACTTCTGTCTACTCTCTAACTTCCTTCAATTAACTGCAAGCATTCTGCTATTGTAGTTTGATGAGTTCAGATTGTTAATTTTGGATGCTTCAGCCTTTAAGCATGACTAGCAGTGGGTGACGATCATGAAAGCGTTAATATTTGTTTCGTTAAGTAACGATGCAGATGTGCCCCTCACCCTCACATAATCTCTTGAAGGTCCATTGCAACGGAGACCTCTGCCGAGTAGCAAAGAACCTGGACATCGTATTATTTGAATACTGTTGATAGAAGATGCTTGTAAGGCTATTTTTCAAATGACACGATTTTGTGTGGCGCTTGAAGATAATATTCTAGTGGCCTAATTTATTGTCAACTGGTTCACTTGCAGAGAGTGCGCTTTTGGACGTCAGTTTTGTTCAGCTCGAGTGTAGGCTTGGAAATATTGACTCCTCTGTTTCCTCAACATTTCCTGCTCTTAGCAACACTCGCCAACATTGCAAAGTCTATAGCTTATGCTGCCTACCTGGCTACAAGTGTGCGCATCTTTTAAACTCTTTTGTGCGTGCAAATTGAGTTGCTTTAATGGTTAGGAAAGCTTTGTAATATTTGTGAGTTCCTCTTCCGTTTTTGCACATTCTAGTTTAGAACATAGCTGCCCCTTGTGCTAGTAGAGAGTTGCTGACCTCGATGGTAAAACAATGTATAGGATAACTAGAGGTCTCCTCGTTGACTTTTCAATCTCGTAGTGCTTTTCTTAAGAACTTGAAAACTTTTTCTATACATCACAATATTGTATTTTCTGTATTGATTGCCATGTATTCTGTTGCATTATATTTATCTTCTTAAAACCCACAAACACAGGCGTCAGCTACGCGTTTTACCGTCCAGTTATTGCTTCCTTACGGTGATTTTTTCTGCGTGTGTAGTCAGCTATTCACCGGAGCTTTGCATTGGGGGATAATTTGGCGGATATTTCTGCTAAGGGAATGGTAAACTCCTACTTAGGGTTCATTTTTCAAGCATCTAGAGATTTACTTAATATTCTCCCTTATTTTGATTTTGGTTGAGTGTTACTTAGCTTATCGTGTGCATTTTTTTATATGTGTGAGTTGCATGGTTTGTGAAGCTAGTTTCCAGATTTGGACATGAGAAGCAGGTACAGCTGTTCCAGAACTGGTCAGAGTGTAGTTTGAGATATGAGTTTTAAAGTAATCTATTTACTGTTTTCTGCCATTGCAGGCACAGACGGTGGTTGCGGACAATCTAGGACTTGCTGCCGCAGTCTGTCTGAGTCAGTTTATCCATAATTTTCCGAAAATTGAGAAATTCTTACCTCTAGCAATGTATCCTGTATTGGCATCAGCAGAATTGTTTGCAATTTATCAGCAACTTCAAGCTGTGCATCTACAAACTTTGAACAAGGTGACCTTGCCTGCATTGCACTTGTATGTCTTGGAATAGGAAATAAACATTTAGATAAATGCCAGCCATTGTACTTATTACTCCGATAGTCTTGATATTCAGAAGATACTTCTTCATAATAATTACTAAGTCAGTGGACAGCAAACCCAAGTCGTATGCTTAGAGAATAATTCACTGTATGCTTAGCTGACAATCCAGATGGCCCATATTTTAAAATTGGTCATTTTCATAAATCTTCTGCCATACTTTTTTGAATTCTCCAACTAAAAGGAGTCTCATGACATTTATAATTCATCAATCTTATTTTCAACAACCATGCCTTTAGTATTAGATCAATCTTCTCTTGAAACTCAAATTCTTTGTGCACACACAGGAGAGGTTGGAGATCATTATCAATATATGGGTGAAGGACCGCAGGATACCAAGTTTTGAGGAGGTTAGCAAGATCGAAAACGTTGCCTTGCTCGATCTTTTCAGAGGTGAGTAACTATTCTGATGCAATCAAATAATATATTTTGCGAGATGGCAACAGGATTTGTATGCCATGGTGGAGTGGGACATAAGAATAAGAGAAAATATTCAAGTTGTTTACTTGGTTCGCTGGAGGGACCGTAGCAGTTTGAGCTTATGTGATTGGGGTAGTACAAATATTAGTGCTAGAAAACGTGATTATGGAATATCTACGTTCTGGATTTCTATTGACGGTGATAATTGCTGCATGAGTGCTCCAGAACAGCAATTAAGTATTTAGCAGGACCACCTGTTGGCACATTTTTCCAACTGGGAGTTGATAAACGAGTCTAAGTGCTCCAAAAGCAAACGTTGAACCTTCTCTCTACATCAAATTTAAATTTGATTTCGATCTTACCGGTAATGTTTAGAATCATATTGCTTTCAGTTTTCGGTGTTAACATGGTGTTTGCAAATGGTGGAGAGGGGGGTTCAGGTTTTAAGAATCAATTATCTTTGCGAATTGGTGCTGTTTCCTTGCGGTATCTTACGCCTGAAGGTCTCATGAACATTGTTAACTTACGAGAAACCCAAAAATATACCCTCTGCCTTGAGCCACATTTTTCATCACCTTTTCGTGGGCATCTCAGCCTTTTACAGGTAATTATAACTGTCCGAGTATTTCCAGGTTCCGGATTAAGTAGAATTCATGGTTTATTTTCATATGTAGATCATTACTGTGCAAGTATGAAGTGCTTTTGTTCTTTCAACCCTGCAGTTCTAATGTTTCTTGGTCTGTTGATAGCCGAGACTGCTCCTGTGGCTCAATGAAAAGGCGACCACTGAAGATATCATCATGGGCGTTTTACAGGTGCACAAAATTCTTCTGAATGTTAGGACGCCTAGTATTCAGAACATTTGGTGTTCCTAATACATTTGGTGCTAGGAACGCTTGATGTTGATATTGGTGTGGGTTCTATCTTGTTAAAAAGCCTATTGAAGTTGCACCAAGTCGCTTGAAATATTGAATTATTGTCTTTTGCCTTTCAGGCGTGTCATATAAGAACCACGATCACCTCAAAGGCGAGCTTGGAGCAACTAGGTAACGCTACCATATCTCTTTTCGTCACTGTGAGCTGCAAGGGTACAAACAAGGACTGTAATCTGGAGATAAGAGAACTTTTAGTTATTAACTAACTGCCAAAAGTAGCCCTAATTTCGGCTTCCTCATATGCGGTGAATTGAGAATCCTGGTTGTGTGGAAAATTGCTGGTCATTACATAGGGTTTTGAAAGAGAAATTGCTAGTCAGTTTTTTGTATCGATGTTATGAGAGGCGATACCTTGTTTTAAAGATACCGTGGTTTTCTCGTCTTAAAATTTCAATGCGCTTGAAGAACGTAAGTAGTCAACGTGCAGGTCACTGCTGTCAGTGGTAAGCCCTGTAAAGTGTCGTGACAAATTGGTTTAAAGTGCACATCTGTGAGATGATTTTTGAAGTTACCACGACGTTTGTCCTTTTCTGAAGAGTGCTGTCATGTCGTCCGAAATACTTGCGTGGAACTCGGTACCTGGACCAGTGATCCGTTTCTCAGTCGGTGCATGATTGTGTGCAGGAATACAATATGAGAAAGGGGATGTTAATGGCAGATGGCGAAATCTTCTTCTTGAGAGCAGGACGCATGCAGAAGTAGATTTCAAACCACTTCTGGATGCTATTAAGGATGGTGGTTGGATCACTAGGAGGATCTTGCTGAGCCCCAAAGAGCAATGCAGTTTCAGCATCCTCAATAACTGAAGTTTACTGTCATTCAAACACAAGCCGCCCTCTTATTTGCATAAGTTCATGTCTAGGATACATTATTGTTGTTTAGGAGGGAATCGTTTCCAGCAACCAGCAAGGGGATGCTGTACAATGCAGGTTGAAATCTGTTCGGACCAAATTTGAAACCTACAGTTTGAGTGGTGTCATCTGATGTCTTCTTCTCATCATTTGATTTCCTGGGTCCCCTTTGGTAACATTATCCTGTCTTGCCTAGCAACTCGTCCCTTATTTCGAAGGGCCACACGATTAGAAGAATGAACAGAAAACGGATTTCAAGGAATTGAGAATGTGGTATGGAAGGAAATTCCCTGTACATCGTCCACTTTTGTAGACGGAAACTTGGTATCAAACAATTGCATCTCCACATATAAAAGACCTACGAGGGCAAAGGGACCACCCATGTATAGTAAATTGCTTGAATAAAAAACTGACGCTGGAACTACATGTTCTGAAATCTGCCAAGCATTGATCATACCTACATACAGGCCAGGGGAGTTGAATGCCGAATTCAATGCCGTTCTTGAGTTTCACCTCAATTGAGAATTTGACATGTGGTCAAGCATCAAGAAGCTCCTTATGAAGTGTTTGACACATGAACCCTTCAATGTATTTGTTAAAGTTTGCTTGAGTGGGTCGGAATACTTGACTGAGACTAACCCAAAATTGGTCACAACTTAATTGCAATTGGTAATTGACTACTTGGACTCAAAAGATCCAGGAGTTATTACAGTTTTATTCTTTTATTGAAGAGTAAGTTTGAGTGGAACAATTTTTTTTTTCCACAATTTGGATGCTAAATAGACAAGTCACCATAGCTTGATATGTTACATACACTATTTTTCTGTGCTCGACAGAAATTATTTCAAGGAACTTTCATGAGAAAAGAAATAAATACTATGATAAAGTGTAAGAAGAACAGAAGAAAAAATGTTTTTAATAAAGTATAAGTAATACTCTCTCCGAATGTCATTAATCTTCAAGCATGATTACTGATTGATTAAGTCCTAAATTTTGTTGAGTATTATTCAACTAGTATGCAACTTGAATTATATTAATACCACCAACCAGCTTATTTAGAGCTGGTGCGAAGTTTTTTCAATAGGCAAAGGGCAGGAATAGCATTATCAAATCTTATCATCTGATCTCACTTAGTAATATCGGTGTCTTACCAATTCTCATCTATACCAGCTCCATGAATATTTGTTTGTGCTAATGTTAGATTGCTTCCTAGTCGTACATGTTTGCATATTCCCAAATTTTGTAGGCATATTACTAGCAATTGACTGTAAATTTGGATTATGTGCTACGGGGTAATATTCTTCTTGACAAACAGTTCTGAAATGAACAGAAAAAAAATACTTGCCATAGCAAAAACAAATTTGTTGTAACACAGAGATAAAAAAATAAAAAAATAAAAAATAAAACAACTTTTTAAGTTGAGCCTTTTAAAAAAAATTATAAGCTTTTGATCGTTATTTATTTATTTTAATCAATAGACTTGTTCAACACATCACCATTGGCTGTCTTCGCCTGCAATAATCTGAACACAACACAGGGTACAAATTTGAGAATGATCGATAAATTAAAAACAAAAGTTGTTATAGTTTATTTTTACAACAATTTGCCTCCATTCACAAGATCTCGTCTAAGGGAATTATCCAAGTAATGGAATGTAAAAAAAGAAGAAGAAAAAAACATTAGAAGTATCGAATACAAACAAAAGGCCAACAAAGGATAAAACACAACATAGCTTGAAGTAAAAACATTTTTCAGTTAACAACAAACAACAAAGACTGACACATGGCATAGTATTTTACAGTCGCACTTAACCCTAAATTTCAAATTTCATCGAACTTCGTGGAACGGAATTTATCAATTCAGTACGAATGCAAACAGAAAGAAGAATAAAAACTTAATGCGGCAGAGATTGAACAGTGGCCGCGCCGAGAGAGGGCTACTCACAAGCACTATCCTCAACTAAAAATAAATCATTAAGAATTTCGGTGTGTTTCGCAACTTCTAAAAGTTTTCAAAACTGTCTTCAATGACAAAAAGTTAAAAAAAAGAAAAAAGAAAAAAGAAAAGAAAAAAACACATCACACGCGAGGAAGAACTTGAATGTATAAATGCTGAAACACACACGACAAGCACAAAGTGATGAGCGGTGAAAGCGCTACGCATGGCAGGCAGATTCATGCAACATGTGAGCCTCGGCGGTGAGATCTGATCGCCTGACTTGGCAGCTCGGAGATTCGCGTGAACGAGTAGGAAAAATCAAACTGGGGGCATGCGGGCACCGCGCTGCTTCCTCGACAGGGAAGATCACATTCTGGTCTCATTGAATTAAATGGAACTGCGTAGAAACGTTCCGAAAACGAGGATAAGCAGAAACCACGCAAATCTGTGCGAGTTCGTGCAAGCTCTTGGAGGTGGAATTTCAACCTTCTGCCTCTGATTGTTTGCCCCTAATTCCGGCCTCAGGCTGACCGAATTCTTCTCTCCGTTTGTGCCCATCACTGTGGGGCCGACAAGGTGGGACCCTGATAAAAAATCCTTCAACATGCAGCAGCGTTGGGGGGTGTGCAGTTTAATCTTGTACCTTATGATTCTGCCACATGAGTTCTCTCGAAATGTTTTTTTTTTTTTTTTTTTTTCTGGTGAACTGAACTCGTCTGACGTCCTCCTACTGACGAAGCGGAGCGAGGTGATGATTGGGCTGTGTTTCTGCACAGGTTCGTTATGACGCACTTTTCTTCCCTTGACCGACTGCAGTACCAACGAGCCAAGTGACGACCAGGATCTGGCACCTAGGGTAAGTTGCCTTCTCCCTATCCCCCCAGTGCCGTGGATTTTTCTATGTTTCCTGGTGCAACTGACCGTCGTCTGTGGCAGAAACATAGCAGGATCTCTTGCCCCAAGGATGTCGCTCGACGTGGCTCCACAGCGGCTTTCAAACGCAATCCTGGATGCTGCTTTTGATTAGAATGCCTTTCCAAGCTGCAGTTCGCAGATCGGCGAAGCACTTCCTTCGTTGTAGGAGTGTACATGGAGTCGCTTCTAGTGTACTGTTGGGAGCCCGGCTAGGTCGGAGGTCGGGATACGTGAGCTCTTGTGCCAAAAGCCATGTCTGGCAAGGAAAAAGCGTGTCGTGAAGAAGCCAGGTAGTTCATAAGTAGAGACTGCTTCTGTTATGGTCTGGCTTCCCCGTTCGGGATTAGATAAGGATGTGGAGGTGACTATGTAGAATCTAGGTGTGATTGCGTCTCCATTGCCATCTCGGATTCTTGTGAAGAATTGGTCCTTGCCCTCGGTGTTGCGGAGTTTGTTTGTGAGGGAGGTTTAGGCTGCCTGACCACCGTTTGGAGGAATTAGAGTAGTAATCTTAGCGACGCGGACATGGGGACCTCTCTATAGGTATCTCGTAGACCTCGATGTTTAAATTTTAATTGCTGTTCTTCCCTGTGCACGAATCGAAATTTTAATTCTTTCGCAACTCTCCACTCGCTCTGAATCTTCAGCTACACTCGGAGTCGGTTTTATGTGGGTTGTCTTCTGCTGCTGTTTTACTGTTGGGTTTAGGTTTGAGAGGAGTTGGGAAAGTGAGTGATCGTTTTGAAGTTCCAGGTTTCTAACGCCCGCCGTGCATCGAGTATTTGTGTAGTGGAGGTGTTCTTGGTTTTAGGAATGTCAATATGGCTACTGTAGGCGGCACATTGGTGTTTGGAAGAGCGGCCTCGTCATGTTCTCCTCTGAAGTCGGGGATAGTCTCTCACTATGAAAGCGTCAATTGTCACTGTGCACCTACATTATGATGTTCGGTCTACTTGGAACGATAGGATTTTTAGACTCCTATCGAAGGGGAAGGATTTTGTCACTGTAGTTTAGTTTGGCTCTGCCGCCAGCTTTGGTGTAGGTGTGATGTTTGAAGCGATCTGCTTGAGTCCCGAGATTTCGGATCTTTGTTATGGACCTTGAAGCACCTAATTGGGTCATTTGCACATTATGAACTGCGTTGTTCTTGGTTGAGATTAGAAAGCTGAAGGAGCTTGGTGTATCAACCTTGGGATTATTTCATAGTCCTGTATTACCGAAAACTTATTTCAATGAACAGTGTATCGTTATGATGCTGAGGCTTTGCCGAGTTCAGCTTTGCCATTTCAGGGTAGCGAAGGACGATTCTAGGTTTTCTTCGTCTGACTACTTCATTACATTGGCTTTGCAAGTCTCTTCGTTCTTATTTCATTCCTTGATAAGCCTTTCAATTAACGTACGACCAGTTTGTTGTGCAACGAGCGAGTCCATCAATGGTTTTTTTGATCATTGATCTCGTAAGCATTGGGTACTCCATGTCAGAGTATTTAAAGAACCACTTTGAACTTGTCCGAACATTATATGCCGAAGCCTTTTTAGAATGACGGCGGTTGATCTTTGACATATATATCAATAGGTTTGATAATTTTATATTTATTTTTAGAACACAGTTTTGATCTTGGATCAACAAGTTGGGCACTTAGGTCTTCGTGAGTTCAAATAATGTGGTACACTTCAATTGTTTTGAGTGGCCTTGGACTTACTTCTGTTTATTTTGTGTCATGTTGGAGCGAAAGCAGAATGTATCGTACCGTGGACTGCTTTATGCCATCGACGAAATGTGTTTGTGCTCTTTTAACTCGACCAATGCTTGGTATGGCGCGCTCGTGTTCTCCATCTTCGCAGAGGCACTACAGAGAACCTGAAAGTAGATCAGGGTCCATTAGATGAAGTACACATTTTTGGACCCTTAAAGAAGTCGGCAGTCTAGATTTGCTGCAAAGTTGGCAGCCAGGCTGTCACCCTGATTGTGAGAGGGACTCTGGAATTAAACACGACTAGGTAAGACTTGTTCTTAAGCATTACCTTAAGCTTGTTTGTTAATGAGTACTTGACTCAAAGCTTATTTTGATTAGCCAGGCTTCTACGTTGCTTGGGACGTGTGGTGCATGATGCAAATGAAGCTGGCTGCTTGACACTGCGGGTTGTTAGTAATAATCGTGGTACGCGTTGGGGTTTAAGTTTTTGAGCATGGCGGTAATAATGTGATACATCAGTCACTGTAGCGACACATGTGTCGACTTTATGATTCAGCTAAAAGACCTGTTTTTCTATTCGATGCCCGAAGCAGTTAAGTTACTAGTGTACGGTGTTTAGGAAAGATTGTGAAATGTACAACCCGCACCTTACGATGTATAATAAAATCTAATTTAGCTCTTCTTCGCAGATTGACTTGCGAGTATCAACCAATGCACGATGCAGGGTGGCAATCAGCAGCCCGCACCAAGTCCAACGAATGATTCTCTGTCTACCCTAGCCTTCCTTCATCATCAGCTGACTCAGCAGTTCTCGACCTCTAATTTGCCAAATACACCCTTGCTCTCTTCATCTCTTGGGTTCTCCATGAGTGGCAATGCTCAGGTTTGCGGAATCATCAGCTCTTTTTTTCCAAAATCTTGTGTGAAGGCCTTTCCATGTGATATTTGTGTCATGGATGCATCCGTGACTGTTGGTGGCCTTGCTTTGCCATGTAGAAATATTATTACACGTTTTTAGTGAGGATATAGATTTTTTTTTGATATGTGATTTAGATTGTAGACGTCTGGTCCTGAAGTGCTGAACATGCACTGCATTATTGTACATCAGTTGTATCAATGAAAGCTTGTAGCTGCAGATCCCTGTTCTGAAGGGAATGTCTTGCATTGAATCACTTGTTATGGACATATTCTGGCGTTTTGTAGAGTCGACAGTAAGGTATTCAGAAGTTGACAATCCGTTTCTTATTTTGCTGTGGATGTTGTAGGATCAAAGTCATACGCATCAGAACATTCAACAGCAACAAATCCAATCAATGATTTCAGGCGGTGGAAGCAGAGGTCATGCACAAGTAGGGAGCAGAAGTGGTGAAAGCCCTGGAGGGTTGTTTCAGCACTTGCAGCACGGGAACAGGGACTCAAATCTCGATCAACATCAGTTTTATAATGAAACGACGAATCAACTCTTTTCCGAGAATGTTTTGAACCAGGCTTCCTTGGTGGAACAGCGAGTGCGAAGTATCACGGAGCATCTGTCCATGCTTCAGGATAGGATCCAGCAGCTGCAAGCCCTTGTGCCTCTTATCTCTCAGCTTTCACATTTCCAGAATGAGGGCAATGTTCTAGCCCAACAGCAGGTAGCAAGTGCCGCTGTTGTAAGTATTACCTCTCAGTTGGCGATGGTGGCCGTTGATCTCCTTCTACAGTCGGGTGTAAACACTGGAACTCAACCGAACCATTCAAAGGAAATGCATTTGAGCCAGCTGCTGCAAAATGCTGCGAATCCAAACTTTTCCCAGCAGAATGCACCGAGGCATGACCTGAGAGCACCTCACATGAGTCATTGGATGGAAAAACTATTAGGAGGATCATTTGCTGCCTCAGAAGGGGTTAATGCAGCCATTACCTCTGGCAACGGTGGGATTCGATTTTCTGGTGGAGGAGGTAATTTCCCTGTTCTGATTGACGATGTTGAAAACTCAGGACAGCAAAGTTTAAGTGGCGCCCAACAGGTTGGTGGTAACGGCAGTGCGGGGTCAATGATTCACTATCCGATGAGCAATATGATTGGAAAGGATTTTGGAAGTATTTTAGATGGCAAAGACCGCAAACCCTCCGATGTCCTAGGTAGCTCTTCACGCGAAGGAGATTCAGGTGCAAATGAGTTTATTTCCGTTGAGTTAAGAGGGGTGAATGCCGGCCTGGAGGATCTGGACAATGATTCCCGAGTTGATGACGAGGGTAGTGACAGCGACAATATCTCTCCTGGTTCGTTTGATCTTGTGGAGATGGACGCTACGGAAATTTTGGCCGAGCACACACATTTCTGTGAGATCTGTGGGAAGGGTTTCAAGCGTGACGCCAATCTGAGAATGCACATGCGAGGTCATGGCGACGTGTATAAGACTGCTGCAGCTCTTGCACGTCCCGACAGAGGCACACAAATCCCTACATCGAACGCTTCGAGGCGATACTCCTGCCCGTATGTGGGATGTAAGAGGAACAAGAAACATCGCAAGTTCCAGCCTCTAAAGACTCTTCTGTGTGTGAAGAATCACTATCGCCGTAGCCATTGTCCGAAAGTTCTCAATTGCCAGAAGTGCTCGACGAAGAAATTTTCAGTTGTTGCGGACTTAAAGACTCATGAAAAGCACTGTGGTCGTGAAAAGTGGCTGTGTTCTTGTGGCACTACTTTTTCACGGAAAGATAAGCTTGTGGGGCACATTGGTTTGTTCGTGGGTCATGCTCCTGCAATGCCTCTGCATGATATGGAAGGTGGGGTTGGATCGAATTTAATTGTGGATCATCACCAGTCACCCGCTGAAGCGTTTGGTTTAGGAAGCAAGTCTCCGATGGCTTTTTGGGAATGACGAGGTCATTGGCCCAGAAGCCAATTTTGAGAGATCAGACGAATATCCGCAAGTTTTTCCTGTGATCGGAACTCCTGGTCTCTGATACACGACGATTTTCGTTGATCCTGTTAACGTCGCCCAATTCAGCTGTATAGTAAGACCCTGAAAGTGATGTTGTAAATTTGTAGAGATTAAAATAGGACTACCTCCAGGCTACCTTGTTGTTTGATCCGTGTGGGCCGAGCGTCCTGATGACCGCTAGTCCCCAATCATATGTAAGCAGGCACCACAATACCGCTTCCGGTGGTCTTTCTTGAAAAAAAATTAACAACACGTTAAAACCTCATGGAATCACATAAACTAGGAATCTAGTTAAAGTGTTTTTTGAAATGTGAAATGTACACTGTTATGAAAAACAGTAATCAGAGGGTTAGAAAAGTCAACCTGATCCAGTTCTTCAGGTTCTCACTTTCTGCGTCGGATGACGCTATACCTGCTAAATACGCGATGGAATTGAAGATGTCAACTATTATACTTGTTTAACCTGTTCGTCATGATCCTCCTCTCGAATGGAAACCTTTCTTCTGAGGGAACTTGAATGCTTGAATGGTTGCGATGCGCAATAACAGTGAAATGACATGAGTGTCGCATCGCTTTCGATGCAAAACTTTGTTTGTTGCCTTCCCAACTAGCAATTCTGTGGGTTTTGTAATAAGATGGCTCACTTGGACAACTTTCATGGGATAATGATGCAGATTTTAGCTCTTGGAAAACACCAGAAGGGCACGTTATTAGGCGCATGTGCAACCTGCTACTAGATCGGACCGCCGCGCACACATCTCGGCCAAGTCACGTGTCGAAATATTCCATGCTCTGAATCCTGTTCAATATTATACATACATCGAAAGAGTGTCCTGAGCACCAACCTTTACCATCGTTGCAGTGAAAGACCAACTCAGTTCTCCAAGTTTTGTGGTACGGAGGATATTCCACGAGCTATCAATGTCTTTCTACTGCTGTTCTGGAACTGCGCTCAGCTAAGGTACACTCGCTTTGAAGCCTTGCGATTGATTCTTAACAGGACTTCAGTCGAGGTATTGGCAACACGACCCAGTAGGAGCAAGACACTAAGCATCAGCTCCAATGTGATACTCTCTTCATGGTATTATGGGTACCATATTAGTAACAGTAATGTTGACAAGTACGCAGCTGTGATCAGCTTGGATACTGTTTCAGTGGAGTAAGCTTGACAATCCTCGAGAGTTCAGATTGTTTGGGACACCAGGGGATGCAGATTGTAAGTGGCCGGTGCTCATACTGAGCTGGAACAACATCAGGATTGTTCTTCCAGTGGAATGGCGCCGTGCAGGATCTGCGTAACCGGGACAATGTAGAGACCATGTTTAAAACAGAATTGTGTGATTCTACACTCAATATTGTGGCTTCGAAATGTCTAGTCTGAGAATGTGGCTTCCATCCAGCTCCAGGGCTGGTGTCCGTGAGCTGTGCACACTTGCCTTCATGCTGTTTTCATAAACGGACCACAGCAGCGAACACAATCTTGGCAACTCTCTCTAAAAATGTGAACTCACGTTCCCACATTCCAAAGTATAAATGCACTCTTTATTATAAAACAATAGAATACAATAAAATAAATCACGATGGATATTATTTGTATAGTTTTTACATAAATCATTCAAATTCTGTGTGCATATTTATTTAAGCATTCAATTAAATAAATATATAATGTTTAGTATGTTTATTCATTTATAGCATTTAGAAAGTACTCTACTGCATAATTGCAATTGATTTAAGATGTTATATCTATACATATATATATATATATATATATATATCCAATATTTGATGTTGGATTTTTAAGCTCCTTCAATAGAATAATAGTGTCAAGGACAAAGACTCGATGAAGAAAAATATACACCAAAAGGCTATCTCGATATAATAAGTCAAAATATAAACAAGTAGGTATATTAAAAGGAAACTGGAATGGCTATTGCCACAAGACAAGAAACTAAAGACTCTTGAACCTGGACTAGAAGCAAGAAAGGAGTTGACAAGAGTGAAGAAGCCTTCACTCTTGTCTCTATATATACTATCTAACTAGGGGCTACGTGGCGACGTTCTATAGGACCTCTAATATGTGTTGACTTTGTAGGACACATGCCTTGACTTACAAGGCAAGTTTTTCTACGTGTGGACCACATAGTTAGCTTGATCTTCAAGCTAATAACATGTGTGGCACATGGCCAACTTGTTGACCACGTTTCTAATCCAAAAAGTCAATTAAAGACACCTATGAAGTCAAAGCAGCGTCTAGGAAGTTTCTAAGAAGCTTCTATATTAAATATTATACAATTAACTTACTTTTATCTACTTTTACTTACTTCTACCTATTTCTATATGTAATTATTAGCTTACATGATTATGGTCGTGACATTACCCCCCCTTCTAGAGACGAGTTCCACGAGGAGCGGTCATCATATGTTGAGGAAATCTATGATGCGACGAATTGTATTCGCCACATACTCTGATCTCTGTTCTCTTCGAAGATGATTGATAGGGCCTCTCAACCATCGGTAGTGTCCCATACCAGGGCGGGAAGACCACCCAGTTATTTGATCATTATTCAGGCCTTCATAACTTCCTTCGAATAGAATATTCGGAACACCATCAGGAGTTGTTCCTACCTCTAGCAAAATCACCAAACATCGGGAGTCCCTTCCCAAATCGTGATACCAAACGCGTTGTATCTCACCATCTATTCGAGGAAGAACATGTCGTTCTTGAAGATCTTCATCTCGATTGCGTCGTCTTGAAGGTTGTGACAATCGTAATGTCTCATCCGGCAGGTCAGCAAACGAAGGTTCTTGAGTTGAATCTGCTGGTTGTTGGCTCTCCATCTAATTAGCGTCACAAATGCAAAGAAGTTACAAACAAGGATAGGAAATTGAATGTTATCTTGCCTCAATCTTGTCTCTTTTATAAGAGAGATTTTCATCTTGGTTTTGATGGATGTCGTTGATGAAAAACTTTGACTTTAGTTGATGCATTTGCTAGATTCCTGGATGGCTCCCATGTGCGTTCACTAATATCATATCCGCGCCAATGAACAAGATATTCCAGCTTATTTCGGCGCCGCCTTGAGTCTAATATCTCTTCCACCTCAAATTCTTCATTATTATCTACTTCTATAGGAGGCGATGGCATTTGTCTTCTTCCTTGTATATCCACTGTCTTATATGGTTCAAGAAGAGATACGTGGAATACAGGATGGATCTTCATTGACTCTGGTAGATGTAACCGATATGCAACTGGATTGATCTGTTCAGAAACAGAAAAGGGGCCAAGCCTACGATAGTCCAACTTGTCACAAGGTCGAGTAGTCTTGATATTGCGACGAAGTAGCCATACCTTATCACCGACGTTGATCTGTGGTTGCTCCATACGATATAGATCTGCGTTTATCTTTTGTCGTTCTTGAGCTTCCTTCAATTGTGTCTTCATTATTGCATGTAACTCTGACAACCGATTTGCCATATCTTCTGCTGCAGGATTATCAACTTTTGAAAAATCAAAAGTATCAAGTCGTGGATGATAGCCATAATTGTCAAAGAAAGGTGTTTGTTGCGTGGAAGAATGTACTGTATTATTATAAGCAAACTCTGCCAATGGCAGAAGGGTTGTCCAATCATCTTGTTGGTAGTTGATAGTACACCTTAAATATTGCTCCAAGACTTGGTTTACGCGCTCTGTTTGTCCATCAGTTTAAGGATGGAAAGCCGAAGATAGCTTTATGTCCACTTTTAAAATCTTGAAAAGGGTCCTCCAAAATCTTGACACAAATTAAGTTCCCCTATCTGATATGATATCTTTAGGTAATCCATGATAGCGATAGATATTATCAATGAAAAGCTTAGCTGTTTCTTCACCTGTGATAGATTTTGTACATGGCACAAAATGTGCCATCTTGGTGAAACGATCTACTATCACAAATATAGAATCATAAGATCTTGAGCTTGGAAGATCTGTGATGAAATCCATAGAAACAGAAGACCATGGTTGTTCTGGTATAGGTAATGGCTGAAGAAGTCTGAAGGTCGATGATGAGGAATTTTTGATCTTGAACAAATATCACATGATTGTACAAAGTCTTTGACTGACTTCCACATTTGTGGCCACCAAAAATCTCTTGATATGAGTTCCAAAGTCTTATTATATCCAAAGTGCCCTGCTGCTGGAAAGTCATGACGTGCTTGAAGAACACGTAAACGTGCTTCTCCTTCTGGAACATATAGGCGTCCTTCAAAATATAATAGATTATTCTTGAACTCAAACTTAGAAGGATCATGAGACTTGGAAGAATTATTCTCGATATCATAAACAAGAGGGTCTGAGGACATACTGGACTGGATTTGCTTGAGAAAAGTTGAATCAACAGTCAATGTTGATTTCATTGCTCGGAGATGAAATTGCTCCGGTTTCAAGAGGACCGTTCTTTGTTGCTCAAAAGCTGCATCTCCTTCTTTTGGTGGAAAATAAGAACGTCTAGATAGGGCATCGGATAAACCTTGTTGTTTTCCTGGCCGATAAGTGATAATGAACTCGAATCTTGACAAAGACATACTCCAACGAGCTTGACGACGATTCAACACGCGTGCTGACATGAAATACTCAAGGTTCTTGTGATCTGTATATACAGTGACTGGACTAGAAGCGCCTTCTAGATAATGACGCCATTCTTGAAAGGAATCCACGATCGCAAGAAGTTCTTTATCGTGGATCTCATAATTGATCTCGGCTGCTGAGAATTTTCTTGAATGAAAAGCTATCGGATGGAGTTTGTCATCTGTTCCCATTTGTGATAAAACTGCACCCAAGGCAAAATCTGATGCATCTGTTTCCATAAAAAATGCCTTGGAAAAGTCAACACGATATAAGACTGGTGCAGAGACAAACGATGTCTTCAAGGCTTCAAATGCTGCTTTCGCTTCTTGATTCCATTGAAATTTATCTTTACTAGTCAAGCGTGTAAGTGGAGCTGCAACTCGTGAGAAATCTTTGATGAAGATCCGATAGTAATTGGCAAATCCCAAGAAACATTGAACATCTCTTACTGTCCTTGGAATCTTCCAATCCACGATTGTTTGGACTTTCTTAGAATCCATCATGAGACCATCATTTGAAATGATGTATCCTAAAAAGTCAACTTGAGTAGTGTGAAATACACACTTTTCCATCTTGGCGTACAATCCTGCATCTCTAAGTTTTTGTAATACTTGACGAACATGTATTTCATGTTCTTCGACGTTCTTGGAATAGATCAGGATATCCTCTAGATAGCAGACGACAAAATTGTCTAAGAATTCACGAAATACATCATTCATGAGATGTTGAAAAGCAGCTGGTGCATTCGTGAGTCCAAAGGGCATGACATTATATTCGAAATGTCCATACCTGGTTCGAAACGCAGTCTTCCATTCATCTCCTTCTTTGATCCGTACTAGATTATATGCTCCTCTTAGATC